GAGTTGTTTGTAGCTAAAATTGCACCCGGTTGCTAAAAAGAAGGTCCATGATGAAGGGATGAACTGGAAGATGATACTGAGAAAATTCGCTCTTTGTTCGGGTTCTGGAATTCGAAGTATCGCGTGTTGTCCAATCGAAATTTTGGGCCATAACCCTCTTGAGTTTTTTGAATTCTTTCGTCGAAAACCATAAGAGGGAGAGTTGGAGGGACTAATAATATCTTGGTAACTTCTTTTACCGCATACTTTCGATTGTTCTCTTTGCTTTCTTGCCATAATAACATGCCAATGATTCTTCACAGCGTTATCGGTTCGACCTGGAAAGAGCCTGGATATAAGTGCCCACTTGTTTCCATGTATACGATGAGCTGCAAGAAGCCTTTCTTCTTCTTCTTCTGTAAATGGCCTTCTGTTGATCCTTGGGTCTAGTTGATTAAACCACCTCAATCTGCAACTCTTCCCTAAATAGAGCAAGAAAACCAAAACACCAACTTCTTAAAATTTCAGATTATTTGTGTATGTGTGTGTGTGTATGAGAGAGAGAGAGAGAGAGAGACAGAGAGAAAGAGTTTTCAGCTTTAGAATTATGATGAAAGGATTATTTATTAGAAAACATTGAAGGATGAAAAGATGCACAACTAATTCAAAGTGAATTTCCAACCTAATCTTTGAGTTACTATTATATATGTCTAGGACTAGCTATCCAAGAATCAACACAATTGCACACACACAAAGACAGATTTTATTCAAATACTATACCTGATCTTCCTTGGAGCTTCTCAGCAATTGAGTTCCAATTCTGGGGACCATATTGTTCAACAAGTTGCCGGAGTTTTTCATCCTCTGCTGGTCTCCAGTGTCCTCGAGGACAGTTTCTGGCATCATCTCTAGAGCAATCTCCGGTTTCGTCCATCGCCGCCAACGCTGACCGTGGTAATTTAGGCAAAACTGGAAAGTCTTGAACAGCAACTAGAGAAAAGAGAAATCCACAGCAAGATTTTAAAGGAGGAGAAGAAATGTGCACCAAGAGAGAATAGGAAAGTGGGTTGGTTTAGGGCTGTGGATGGCCAGTCACTTTTGTTGGTTTTACACGACAAATTGGAGCTCATATGTACCTGTACAAACACTGACCCTTTCTTCTTTTACCATTGGCCCATGAACTTCTCCATATATTTCCTACCTGATTTCGTTTTTCTATTTCATTACTTCTCTCTCTCTCTCTCTCTCTCTCTCTCTCTCTCTCTCTCTCTCTCTCTTTTCAACCACGGTTCTAAGTTAAATCAAAGCCAACTTAGTCGCACCTCGTGTGGTGTTACTTATACATTGGTCCTAGCCACAAGTTTATTTTATTCTGCAATTTTAGGTATATCTCTTAATACTTGTAGCCGTGGCCTTATGAAATGCCTTGCTTTGAAAACCATATTAGAATTTTTTTTTATTTTCTCAGTTGGTTTATAAGCATTATAGTAGCTAATAATTGGGTACATAACCTCTTGACAAATAGCAAAGAATCCACTGTCACTGCATTTTTGTTTCCATTGATGTCCAATAAGACTTAGAAAAAGAAAAGGATCGACACTGTTATGACTTTGAGCATGCTCTGAATTAGACTTTAATCCTTTAATCTTTTCGTTACTTAAGTTTGGTACATCATATATATATTTTATAAGCATCCTAAATTATAGACGGAAAATTTGAAGATGTCCAACTTTAGATTAGGATCCATAAAGAGGTGAAGTCAGTATCTTGGTAAGTTAAAATGGTGGCTATTAATCCATCCACATGTGACATTTGATCTAATTAAGAATTACAGAAAAGCATTTTTGATAAGCTAATGACTTCATTTAATTATATGTTTAATTAGGTTATCAAACAATATTTAAGGTATCTCTTGTTCCTACGACTTCTCGTTACGAACACTGACAGAAGCCGCCATCACAATTGGTTTCTCTTGGATCAAAAATGCTGTGTCAACGCCCCCATCCATGCATGCATAAAAAATTTTATCACTAAAAAATTCAAAAAGAGAGAGAGAGAGAGATCCCTTGGTATAAAAGAAGTGATTTTCTTTTTTGGAAGGTAAACTGTTTCGTTTCTGAAATATAATCAAGATGTACTTAATTAAAAAAAAAACAAGTGATTTTGTTAGAGGGCAAAAATACAAAATTTTAATTTCGATAAGTTTAGAGGAAGAAAAAATTACTCTTAACTGAGTTTATGTTTTTTGGCCTGAAGGGTTTAATCCGAGTGCCGTGGGAGTACAGCATCAACATACAAAAGGATAACCCGTCCACCTTTTCATGCAATTATACTTCCATGCAGATGGCAAGTCAAATACAAACATTGAAAGATTACAAGTAATGAGTATTAAAATGGATTTCTTAACTGATTGATTATTTCATACCCCACGAAATCAAACATTTCTCTTCCCATCTAAATATGCATATAATAGCTTATCCATTAACATCAACATTAATCAAGTAAACAAGACATCTCCAACGGTGGGTGTAAAATCGGTATCTAACCGTAACCCGTCCAGATGGCTGCTATCACCTCCATCTTATCAATTGGAATTTTTGGATTAGCAACTTTATAAAATTCTCCGGATGATACGGGTCTTGCTAGTCAGCTCATTGTTATTTTTTTGGCTTTTGAAAGAATAACCTAGACATTTGGTAGGAAGAACTTTCAAATCCAACTTCACAATGTTTTGTATTCAATATACGTAGTTTAATCATCACCTAACTGTTATCATAGGGGGAAATCTTCACAAGTAAAAACCGAGAGAGACTGCTCAACTATTTCTAGTTTTTATGACAAAATCTGTGAGTATACTATACCACCTACTGTACCCGTTAAAAATATGATATCTTATAGGAGCACAACTACAAAGACCAAATTTAAATGTATTTACCTAAAGCTTTGTTTCAAGCTTTTTACCCATTAGTTAATTCATATATTAAAGAAATATTTGATGATGTTTTTTCGAAATACCATTTTTGAGAAAAAATAATTTCGTCAAAAAAATAAAAGTATGTTTAATTACTATTTTTAAAATATGGTTTATATGGATCTTACTGCATACATGATACACTTTTTTGTGCCTATATATATATATTATTTGTGCCTGTATGTGTGTGTGTGTGTGTGTTATTGTAACATGAGATTAAGGTTAAATAAATGGAACAAGTCTAGACCAAAAAAGCCAATTCAGATGGAAAGGTTTAGTAACTAGGCAAAATAACCATGGCAGAGGATGGTACATACATGGAAGATACATAATTTCAATGTAAGTTAGAATTGATTTGTCGTACCAATCATATATGGAAGCTAAATATAATTTTATTGCAGAATGTGCTCAAAAGTTTTTTTTTCATCTTTGCCATTTTGATAAGAATTGTGTACCATATATTTGAAAATTTAAACGTTTCTTTCATTATATGATCTCATAAATGTTCTATAAAGCTCATATGTCGTTAGGCTTACTAGTCCAAGTAAATGATTAATTCTTAAGGAGAACAACCTAATAAAAGAAGGTTTTAATGAGCAAGTTGTTAGGTTGGAGCCTTTCTGGAAACGTTAAGACATTGACCCAATCTTGATCTAAGACGACACATTTAAGAAGATATTTCAAATTTGAAGTTCATAAGCTAATGACGTTTGATAATTCTTTTACAAGAACAACAAATGCTCGGCCACGTATGTAATTAATTTATTTCCCACCTTTTTTTTTACTGGTTTCATATCCATGTTTTTTTTTTTTGGCAATTATAATGATTTCCACAAGGCTTGTATTTATCAGCACTGTTGCTTGGAAGAAGTCCTTTAATTTGAAGCTGCCAATTGATTCTGATTTCCTCAGGCATAACCTTAACAGAAAATTAAAATTTTAGCCACATATTAATGCAGCTTCAAGTTGAAGTTGCACGCCCAAGTTACACTGCTTGGCTTGAATTTGTAATATCCTTTGCCTTTACTATGAATGACTTTTCTATATGAGATGGCATTGCCCAATGTTGAAAAAACTGCCTAATTCTGGTGGTGAATGTTGAAAAAATTGCTTCTTCTTCTTGTTTGGTGTTGAGTGAAACTGAATCTTTTAAACTTGACTGATACCATGGGTCAACCCACTATGCAAAGCATAGTAGAGTTTTTGTATTAAAGTAAATATACTTACTCCATTACCCTTTATATGCTCACAAAACTTTTCTCATTCTTCCGCCGTGGGATTAGTGTCAAAGGCATCCTTTCACCTTCTCAAAACACGAGTTTTTCACAAAACTTCTACCCACAAAAAACTCTATTTTGAAAATCTTTTAATACATGCCCAAGTAGAATTGGAAGTGCTTTTTAGGCCTCCAAAGTTAGGTAGTAGCACACAAATGTTAGGTTTCTAAGTGCCATTTCAAGTTATATATGAATAGGGTTATAATACCAAAAAAATAATATTTTGACATGACATCGAAAAATAAATTTTCATCTGGTGACAGAACAATAATACAGAAAAATTGCACGTATTACATACCTGACCTTGGATAGAAGTATGATACCGAAATATCACTTTTTGATATTATAGTGTAGCTCTCGAGCTCTACATGATAATTTAATATAGTCTTCCGGTAATAGAAAGGTTCAGAATGGCTTTCAAACAGTAAATGGAAAGCATTTCAGTTACTTGCACAACCAAGCATCCAATTCCCCAAATGTCCTTTTTATGAAAACCATAATATACCTTTTATCAATCTCACCTTTCCAAGTAACCATATAAGCAACACATCAACGAACCCTGAAAAACTCTACAAACCAACTTTGACTACTCCCATCCAACCCTCTTCTATATTCTACATTACTCACTACTGCATCATATATATAAGACTAAGCTACCCCATTAACTTGCACTTCAACGTATATCAATCTTCCTATCTTTCTTAAATTTGCTCTCGTTTAATGCATTTCGTTGCAAGGTTGTTGATCATAATGCTGGCCCCTTTAATTTTCCTACATGCTATCGCAACATTAGAGACATAAAAAATATCGAAATGTCTAAAGGTCAATTTTCGTGAGAAAGTTCTAGTTATTCGAAGAGCCTTTTTTTTCCGTGATTATATGGTTATAGTGACTTAGTCAATGTGAATGACAGTAAAAAAAATAAAAATAAATAAATAAGATCAAAGCATAGGAATGAAAACCCAAAACTGGCATTTATGTGGTTTGATAAAATTTTGCTTCAGTCTGTGATCGTATCTAGTCTTTTCTAGTCTTGAAAGAATTTATAATATTATTCAAGTTTATATTCAAATCCAAGTTATTGGACCACTCCAAATTTACACATTCAAATCCTAGTAAAGAAATCCCTGAATTTTTAGAAAACCTCACATTTTCCTCAAATACCTCACCAAACTTAGATTTTCTTCTCCCTTCAAAAAATTAATGTATATTCGAACGTGTATAGCTAGGTAGCATAACAATTTGGCAAACTTATGTATTATAACAACTTGAAGATGGTTGGTTCTCTTAAAGCACATGTCAAAGTACCTTTTTGATGGCCTTGAAGATTAATGTTCCTGCAAGTGATTTAAGTAGTGTCTGTATATTTTATGTGTAAGTAATAAGATTATTCTATTATGATCTGTTTATAAAGGGTTTAAGTATAGAAAAAAATAATTTACATGCATCGGTAAAATTGTGTAAATTTGACCTTTTTCAAACCCCAAAGTGGTAGGAGTCTCATGCATCAGTCACTCTTTTATGGATATTTATCTAAGATAACATTTAAAAAGTTGAATTCTTAACTTATAATAAGATTTATCTAATTTTTATTTATTTTGATCAAATGGTATAAAATTCATTCTAAATTTTTTTGACTAATACTATTTGACCTAAAAGTCTTACCTAATTTGCTGACATAATAATGTAGTTTCACAGAATCATTAAATCAACACCAAGTTCTAATGTTTGATGGGTCTCATAGTCAATCCAAAGGTCATAGTGAATTAGATCAACAAATTATGTCAGTAAATTAGGTTCCAATAGCATTGCTCAATTTTTTTTTCCCCGCTCAATAACATCATCTTTTTACACGGACCCCAATATCAAACAATTCAACCAGCAAACTGTCAAATATCAGACAACCCTATTAATTTACACTT